ATATTCACTGCGTCATTAAGTGATACGATGGTCATTTGCAACAATGTTGCTGCTGCATAAAGCACCATGTTAATCACCTTGTTATCGTTTGGGAGTGGACTGCTTGCATCATCTTTAAATTCTGTTTCCGCACCGTCCAATAAAATTACCATTTGCATTTTTCAAACTCCTAAAGCTCAGTTCGTGGCTATTGTGTACTAGCAATAATGAAACGGTAGCGTTTTACGGAAAGCAAAAGAGCAGCTGGGGTAAAAATATCCAAACTCTTATAGGATAAACGATGTTTTACTTTGCTATTTATCTTAAACAATAAAGAAGTCTTTATCGAAGAAAAGCTGATGAGGTTTCTTGAATTTTTCTAGTAGGTACGCTTGTAACTTAAGCACGAGCTAAACAAGCAAATGAAAATGTTCAGATATGATATGATCGACTTCATCTTCCGCACTTTAAAATTAATCTGTTGTCAAAAGAAGATCTTTTATTCTTTGAGAACTAAGGCTAAGTAGGGACAGCATTTTTCAGGTCGTTTATTGATTGAGCAACTTCGAAAAGTAATTTGATAACTAGAAAGGAAATTTAACGTATATATGAAGAAACGCACTTTTGAAATTTCGAACATGAGCGAAACAGTAGACTATTACGACATCTTGCTTACGTTGAAAAGGTACGCAATACGAGCAAGATAATACTAATTTCCGCCATTTAGCTCGTCGTTGAATTACTACGTATGCACGCTGGAAAGTTGAATTAGTTCTGATATGGTACATATCGCTACTTTACAACAGAAGGGATAATCTTATAACAAGTACTAACGAAAACCGATTTCTTATTATTTTCAAAAAGAGTAATCCTCGATAAGATGAGGCTGAACATTCCCGTTCTCATTTTAATGTTCACATTATGAACTCGAATAAAGTTGGTAACCCAGAAGTCGCAGATGACTAGCAAAAGCGATGCTAACAAAGTGATGTGAGATTATTGATCTAATGATAGCCACCTTGAGAAAAAGTGCAAGTTTATCGCCATAATGTGCACT